GTGCGAGAACAGGGCCTGCCCCATCCCTATGCTGGCCATGCGGTCCTGGATTTCTCTGTGCTTCTATTTTCTCACCCAGGGCATAAGAGGGTTGGATGGATAGTGGCCTGTTAGCACCTTCATGCCCCCCCACCCTTGCCATCCTCTCCCACCCCTTCCCAACCAAGCCTCGCCAGACAAACCATGCTATCAAAGGGAGGGACTGGTTCCTGGCCCACAAAGATTTCTCTTAAATCCTTTCTGTGGCTCTGACTTCAGCACCCTCTGCACCCAGGTTCCTTTTTTCTAAGCCAGGACTAGGTTTGGGTAGGGGGACTACAGTCCCTGACTTTCCTGGAGGACTCTGATTCTATTCTCACCCTTGCTTGTCCCTTGTGGGTCTGTGCCCTTCTTAGACCACCTCCCAGAGTTCCTGAGTTAAACCTTAGAAATGAGGGTGAAAAATAAACAGCCTCAAACTTTGTCTGTGGCTTTATTTTCAGACTACTAAAAACTTGAAACAACCCTACCTCCTCCCCTTTCTCTTCTCCTGGCAGCTCCGGCATCCTCCAACTCAGTCCTGCCTGAGCCGGATTAGGGAAGGGAGGAGGTTATGGTCCATGGAAGAGTCATACCCTGAACTTTATGGGGTTTGCAGCAGCCAGATGCAGAGCTGGGTTGCACCCTTCCTCTGCAACAGCCAGAGAAATGAAATGCAGGTTTCGTGGTGCAAGTAGGAAAGGAGAGGGATGGGAAGCCAAAAGGGAGTTTTTGTAGGGGTGCAGAGAATGGCATCCAGGTGAGGAGGAATAAGAAGAGGTTATGGGGTGGTTGGTCATCTAATATCCAATAAGTGATGAGAGATAGGAAGCTTGCATGGATTGACAGGTTACTGACCATGGAAGTAGGTATCAGGCAGGTGTGGAGAGCTGGGTTGCATTTGAGAAAAGCCCATAGCTACTTTCAGGGGCCACAGCTCACAATCCCCAGAGCACTCATGGCCACAGTCTTCTCTCCCCCGATTTCAGACCTTCTGCTGTAGGAAGCAGCCTTGGGGCAGCTGGAGACCAACATTCCTGAGCTCTTCCAGCCCTAGCATTTATCTTAACGTTATTTCCCCTCCCAGGAACAAAGAAGCTTTTTATTCAGCAAGTGGCGAGAACCCACACCTCTGACAAGCCATAGATCACCCTCAGGGAGGGCAGGAGGGGATAGTGGCTTCTCCCAGAACGTGAGGCTTCTCCCTCCCACCCAGAACCTCAGAGAGGAGTGTCTGGCTCATGGTAAGTTCCCAGGCAGAAAGCAAGAATTGAGCAGAACAGACTGGTTGTGAAAGCCAGAGGCCAAGCCAAGGCAGGAAGACAGAGAAGAGATGGGATGACTGACTTCTGTGAAGGAGCCCTGAGCCCAGACTCTCCGGGCTCCTCACCTGAGATATATGATGATCAACCAAATCACCCAGGGAGCTCTGAAAAAAGAAAGGGAAAGCCCTGGCTAGTGTAGCTCAGTGCATTGAGCACGGGCCTGTGAATCAAACCATCACTAGTTCAATTCCCAGTCAGGGCACATGCCTGGGTTGCAGACCAGGTTCCCAGTGTGGTTTCCTTGACAGGCAACCGCGCATTGACATCTCTCTCTCTCTCTCTCCCCCTCTCTCTCTCTCCTTTCCTTACCTTCTCTCTAAAAATAAATAAATAAATAAAATTTAAAAAGGGAACAAATTCCCATGGTATAGAAAAGGCAACCGTATAGAAAAGGTATAGAGTACTCGACAGCCCCAGTGACCTCCACTGTAGCTGAATTTCTTGTTTCTTTCAATAAACATATTTGAATACACTAATATATATAGGTATAAAAGTATACACATATAGATATGCAGGAATGTGTATATATATGTATATATATAATCTCTGTTTACACATTTGGTAAGAAATTAAATATATTGTTCTACAATGTTCTTTTTACACTTATGTGATGTCTCTCCATATTTGTACATGTAGATCTGTCTCCTTTTTCCTGACTTAATATTTCACTGTGTGGCTATTGATGGGTATTTAGATAATTGTCCATATCTTTCTATTATGAATAACACTGCAGTAAACATCCATGTAACAAACTTCCTTGCGCAAAAGTCTGAGTATGAGCAGGGAATACTCCTAGAACTGGCAGGCAGGTCAAAGGACGTGAGCATGTGTTTCCATCCCGATGGACACTGCTACATTGCTCTTCACAGAGGTTGCACTTGTTTACACAGACACCAACTGTGTCTGAAAGTGCCTCACATCTTAGGAGAACACCACGTGTCATAAAACATTCTAATCCACACTAATTTTAGATGAGAAAAAAATAACATTTCATTGCAGTTATAATTTGCATTTCACTCATTATAAATAAGGTCGAAAAACTTTTCATGTGCTTAAAAGCCATCTGCACTTATAGGACCTTTAAAATAGATGGACTCCCCAAGTCCCACACTTCCAAATCTAGTTCAGTAATCCCAAAAATCAATACTTAAAAAATATATACTAAAATGCTTGGAGAAGGTAAGGATTTTTAAAAAGAGAACAGAGTTTAAAAATCACTATCCACATAAGAATAGATCAATAAATTTTACTTTGATGAACACTGTAAATATCTGCTCATTAAAAGGGAATGAAAAGTCAGTCAACAAATTGGGAGAAGATATTTGCAATTCGACAATGAACTCAGAGCCAGAATAATAAAGAACTCCTACAGGTCGACACGGAAAGGACAGTGACAAGGCAAAGGCTGGGACACAGGAGAGCTGCCATCAACAGACTACAACTGGAACCTACGCTTCCTGAGGGCAGAGACGCTGCCTGTCTCGTTCACCAGTGAACTTCCAGAGCCTAGCATGGTGCCAGGCACACAGTAAATACACCATAACGTTTGTTGGATGAGCCAAAAGGAATGATAAACAGAAAAGAGACAAAGATGACACTCCTCCCCCTGGGTTAAAGTGTAAAGGACCAGGAAGATGAGAATTTAAGAGAAGATGGTTTGGAGAAGAAAGAAGAAGCTGCTGGACTACATGGAGACCGAAAGCCCAGCAGAACGCCCGGCTGGGGCAATACAGTAAACAGCTATGAAAACAAGACGAGCAGTGGGACCAGAAAGCCCAGGCAGCAATTTTCCATGTGAGGTCGTTCTCCGAGAAGTGAGGTCATCTGCATGACCAGATGACGCAGGCAAAAGAGAGAATGGAGGGAAGTTGGGTGAGGACAGAATTCAAGTATAACAAGCTAGGGAAGGCAGCAGGAAATGAGAGAGAGAAGATTCAGGAAGGTGGGGCATCTGCAAAGTTAATGGAAAAAGACAGAGCTTCAAGAGGAAGGTGCTGTTGGTTCAATTTTGTTTGAGAAACAATTGTATCCCTGCCCTCCGAGTAATCCAGAGGCAGAATAACGTGGACTTGAAAGAGAAATGGACAAATCTTGGATCTAAGCATAGCTTTATTAGCAATTAATAGTGAAATCGTAAGCAAGTTACTTAAACTTCTACTTCCCAATTGATTGCATCTTCTGTTTTTTTAATTGGTTAAAATGGGGGATTAATATAATCCATACCCCAGGTTGCTGTAAGGATTAAGTAAAAGCATATGAAAGTAAGTGAAATGTATGAAATGCCCAGTGCAGGGACTGAGACATGGTTGGCACTCAATTCGTATTTATTTTCCTTCCCTCCCCACCTGTGTGCCAGGCACCAGGCATCTGACGTCTGGGGAAATGATGCTGACAAATACTATTTGTGATACAGCGGCGTGTATGAGCTCTGCGCTGCAGAACCATGTGTCAGGACCAGTGGGAGCCGCTGCACACTAGAACCGGACAAAGCTGTTGCAGAAGGCTTCAGTTAATAAGGAGATGTTAATGACCCTGCAAAGAGTTGTTTTACTAGGACGGCGGCAGGGTGGGGTTCGAGAGCAGAGCCATCAACCATCGTTCTTCAGCAGCAAGAGGCAAGAGGCTGAACTACCACAATGAAATCTCCTCAGGCTGGGAGCAACCTGAGCATGTGTGTGGGCCAGAGCCAGGGAAGAAGGCGAAGAACGCAAGGAAGAAGTCTGGCTGATGGAGCAAGACACTCAGAGAGAAGAGCTCCGACTCAGGGGCGATACAGGTTTAATGACGTGGCTATAACTTGAGGAGGGGGACTCCGAGGAAAGAAAGCCACGTTTGTGAATACAAAATTGGATACAAAAGTATACATTTATTCAGAATAAGAAAATTAGCCACAAGAAAATAAAAGTTTTATACTGATAAATACCACAATCACAAAACCCAGAAAAATGACATTATTTATTAATAAATTAACTGCCTGGCAACCCCCTATAATAATCTTAGGGAAAAAATGCTTCTTTTCTGTGTACTGTTTATCGAGTCTTTTATATTTTGTTGTATTATTTTTTATAGAGATGATAGTAAAATAACTCAGTCTTTCTTCTAGCATGGTCCATCAAAAGTTTGGGTTTTTTTTTTAATATTTTATTTCTTTTTTTTTTATTTTTAGAGAGAAGGGAAGAGAAGGAGAAAGAGAGAGAGAGAAACATCAATGTGTGGTTGCCTCTCACATGGCCCCCACTTGGGGACCTGGCCCACAACCCAGGCATGTGCCCTGACTGGGAATCGAACTGCGACCCTTTCATTCACAGCCCATGCTCAATCCACTGAGCTACACCAGCCAGGGCTCAAAAGTTTGTTTTTCATCAGTGATGATTTAGAAAAATTTTTTTCGGCTTCACAACTTGATATATTGGTAAGGTCACATAAATGTTTAGGATTGTCGTCATATTTGGAGAAACCACTATCAAGGTCCTTTCTTATACAAACTATCATATTTCAGGACGTGTCAAGTTTTTGTACATAGTGGGTCATGCTAAGCATTCTTTGAATTAACAGGATTCATTAACCAGTTTGGTGATTTGTCTTTTAGTGGTTTATCTATAAGTCTTATTTATCTTTTTAATCCTCACTCGAGGATATGTTTTATTGATTTCAAAGAGCATGGAAGAGAAAGAAAGAGAGAGAAACATCGATGTGACAGAGAAACAGATCAGTTGCCTCCCATATGCACCCTGACTGGGAATCAAACCCACAACCTAGGTAGGTGCCCTGACTGGGAATCAAACCCACAACATTTTGGTGCATGGGACAGCACTCCAACCAACTGAGCCACCCAGGCAGGGCTGTCTATGAGTTTTGTACTGTCTCATTGTTATCAGAATTTCATGTCAAATGAGCAGGAAATTTAAATATTCGTTATATGACTCAGTATTAAGTTCAGAATCATAAACACACAACTTTACAGATGAACATTCTAGCTATCGGTAGCATTACTGCAAATCTGTGCCTTCCAAAGACAGGAATTTTGATTAGGCCATATTTTACATGAGAAAAAAAGGAAAATGTCTGGTGACTTTACAATTGACTATATTCTTGGCAGGAGAGAATGACCATCTTGACTTGGTGTTAATGAGAACCAAATCTTGTTTACAGTTTTACAAGTCTGGTGAATAAAAAATATTTTTTCCTAGACTAGTTTATGGTTCTATAGCAAGTTGCCTGCTGACATCCAAAAAGATATGTCTACATCCTAACCTCCTGAACCTTAGAATTTGACCTTGATTGGAAAAAGGGTCTTTGCAGATGTGATTAAAGTAAGGCTCTTGAAATCATTCCAGATTAACCAGGTGCACCCTAAATCCAAAGACAATTGTCCTTATAAGAAACAGACAAGGAAGGGACAAGGACACAGAGGAGAAGGCCGTGTGAAGACAGGGGCAGAGAGTGAAGTGACGCGGCCACAAGCCAAGGAACATGAAGAGCAGAATAAGGCAAAGAAGGATTCTTTCCTGGAGACTTTGGGGGCAATGTCATCCTGTCCGCACATGATCTCAGACTTTTGGACTCCAGAGCAGCTGGAGAATACAACACTGTTGTTTAAGCCACCAGTTTGTGGTGATTTGTTACGGCGGCCCTGAGAAACTAAGACAGGTTCCACACATTGCACATTTTGTTCCTCCTCCACAACCCAAATATTTCTTGTAGGACTGCAATAGGACAAACTCACAAGCTAACATGCCCTGCAGCCACGCACCTGAAAGTGGTGCGTAGGTCAACACAGCGAACTGCAGAGACGCCCCCAGAAACCCTTCCCACCATGGATGGCTGGCCACCACCCACCCCAATATTTAGTAGTTTATAAACAACAACCATTTTGTTTTATCCCCCAATTTTGCAGGTCAGTAACTGGGGAAGGGATCTGCTGGGCGATTTATCTCTTCCATGTGGTATCTGTGAAGATGATTCAATGGCATCAAATGGTAGATGCTCTGGTTTGGGGGGATCTAAGGTGGTTTTGCTCACATTTCTGGGGCCTTGATGGCTGAGAGCCTGGATTCACCTAGGAACACTGGTCTGAGTGGCTTCACCAGCATGTTTTGCTAGGAATGGGCAGACTTCCTACTCGGTGGCTCCCAGAGAGAGTATTCCAAGGGACCAGGTAGAAGCTTCAACTAAAATGTCCAGACACTGACTTCCACTGTGTGCTACTGGCCAAGCAAGTCACAAAGCTGGCTCATATTCAAGGGAAGGGGATTAGACCACACTTCCCAGTAGGAAGAAAGTCAAAGACTTTTTTAGGCATCTCTAAGCCACCACACTCTGGGCATCAGGGAAATGATGTCTCTCTTTTTGCAATGGGCACCCTGGCTATAGTGTCGAGGAAGGATGAAGAAGACAGAATTCAACTACAGAGATCAGTTCAGAGCCTACTAGAAAAGGAAGTGCAAAAGTTTAAATGATGGTGGTATCAACTGGAAGGGAAAATAGGGCATGAATTTGAGAGATATGTCAGGAAGCACTAAAAAATAAGAGTTTAAGAACATGGACTCTGAGTTTTCATGATCTCATTCTTAATTCTTTTCCCACCACATACCAACTGCAAGAACTTTGGAAAATTATTTGTCTTCCCTGGGTCTCAGTTCTCTCATCTATAAAATAGGGCTAATCATTGTACTTACAAGGTTGTTGAGAAGACTAAAAGCAAATGTGTTCAAAAAGCCCAGAACAGTTTCCACATATACTAAGAATACAGTAGACATTAGTTATTAAAAACAAAACATAAATAAAACTTTATAGGAGTCAAATTTTGTCTGAAACCCCGGGGCACTGCTAGGCAAAATAGGAATGATTCCCTCTCCGTGTCTGCGTCCTGTTTGTCAGTGACACACTTCCAGCCCGCAGCTGTGCCATAATTTAGGAGTGTTGCATACCCCCATAGCACCTAGGCATGGTCACCTGTTAGATTTATTCAATTCACTTCAAGTGAAGGAGAAGGAAGCAATTAAAAAAATGCACAGAGGTTTTTGAAGGATAGAGGAGTTGAAGGCGCTCTACACAATGACCTACGTCTCATGACATTATGATAACTCATGTCTTTTCTGTTCTTCATTCTTTCAAAAAACATTTGCTTTTGTGTTCACTCTCTTCCAGCCCCTGTGTAAGGTTCTGGAAGACAGTGTGAAGGAGAAACTGACCCTGTGTTTAACCCATAAATTAATAAGTGCAATGGAATGTCACAAGGATTGCATGTTGGATGACAAGGGGACATTCCAAGCTGATGAGGATAGCCATGAGGCATGTCAGAGTTGGTATTTAGGACAGTGTCAACATAGCAAGAATGTGGAATACAAGGGTCTTGGAAGAACAAGAGAAAACCGGAAGGGGTGGCATTCAGACCCCGGACAATGCCTACCAGGGGCTGGGCAGGGGGCTTTCGGGTGTGTGGATCCTTTATCTGGGTCTTCCGGATGCCCTGTCACAGAAATACCTCAGACGGCACGGGACACTACCTGCCTATCTCTCTGTGGGAGCAGAGAAATAATATCAGCTTATTACCATTCCTAGGTTTTCTTCAAAGTGCTTGAAATGGCAGAACACTGGTCAGCTAAACACCAAGGAGCCCGACCGAGGTGGTCCCAAGACCCAACTGGCTGATTCTGCGCCTCAGGTTCCCGAGACTAAGTTGGGACTGGGCCCCAACTACCTGGCAGTGTAGGAGAGGCCAACCTCACGGCCCACTGCCTGTCCTGCCCTCCTGCCTCCACAGTAGTCAGAAGATACAAACCCCAGCACTGGAGGCTGCCATGGAGTTTATATGTGGCGTTTCAGCCTCAAACACTCCCAGAAGGAAAACAGTGTATCTTGATCTTTATCAGCCCGAATTTGCACAGCTAGAGCAAGGGCTCAGTCCAAATCAGCATGAAAATTCAGGTGTGGCACAGCCTTCAGATGGAGAGTCCGCACCGATGAGCTTCCAAGAGCTCAGCCCTAGTCCCGACACCAACAGCAACCACACACTGAGCCAAACCCCACCCCGCCCTCACCCTCCTTGCTAACACCACGACCCCTGGAACTCCAGCCCAGGCCTCCTCTGACTCAACACTAACACTAAATAAAATAACTGAAATAACTCAAGCTCCAGCTCACACTCCAATCAAGCCCCCACAGCCCTCACCGTAGCTCCAATTCCAACCTCACCCTAGGTCGAAGCACAGACGGAAAGGAGTGATCTTTGGGGAGATAATCACCGCTGCCCCACAATCTGGTGGCCTTGACCGACAGCTGTCTGCAATTTGTAGCTTGAAACCTGCCTTGAACAATTGTCCTTTGGGTTTAAAATCTGATAGGAGACTATTGCCATTATTAAAGGATTTAATACTCAGAAGTCTATTTGGAAGTTCATAGCTGAGAAATAGAGGTATTTTAGTTACTTCCTCTACAAACAACAGAGGGGGATGAAAGTTCTTAAGAAACTCATCTTCCCCTACCCCTGGTCTGCCAGCAGTCATCAGGAAATGGGATTATCTTCAATATATAAATGATGAATAATTGCAAGCTTCTAAGAAGACAGAAGAATCCACAGGGAGAAGCTAGATTTTTAAAGAGACACCAGCATGTTTCCTTCTGACTTAATATCCAGCCTCCTCCCAACCCTGGGAGGCTGGGTAGGTGTGCCAGGCCTGTGGCCTACAGGGTACAGGGTTCACCCTAAGGCAGGGAAAGTGGGGTTTCAGAGCATGAGGCCAGAGGGAAGCCCCAGAGCTGAGGTCTGTTGGAGAAGGCAGAGGTCAGTCTGGAAATGTGACTCCAAAATGAGCTGTCAGTCAAGGGGAAACAAGACAAATAACTGAGACTGAGATGCACAGCCCAAGGGCTGGACAGCAGGAACAGCGGAGGCCAGGACAAGAAACGGCAGGTTGGGGCAGGCAGACAGGGGGCCAGCAGGCTGAACTCACCCCGGGGTCCGAGGCCTGCACCCCAAGCAGCTTTTACACCCTTCCAACCCGGGTTTGCATGGAAAAGACAAATTCCTTTTTTAATAACTCATTTTTCCTGATTCAAAAAAAATTGAAGAAAATTTAGAAAGTATAAAACATTTGTAGAAACAAATTAAAATTAACCACAACCTTCTGACTTGAGTCATGGTCATTTAAAGGGCTAAGACATTACTAGCACTTAATTATTTTAAGAATTTATCCTTTTACCATCTAGGTTCAGCTCCTAACATCTAGAAGGGGGGAGGGGAAGGCTCCTTTCTTTGCCCAATAGGACAAAACCTGAAAGGAAACCAAGGCCAGATTCTACTTCCTGCAGTGCCGGGGGAGGCAACTGTCCACTCAGAAACTGCCATTCCCCGTGTGCCACACCGTGCTGGGCACTGGGTCGCAGAACAGCAGGTACCACCCCTTCTCTGGCACGTCCACCTTTTGCAAAGGCTGCCTAGGGTGCTCCAGGCCAATCCTACAACATATCATTGACACACACTCACATCCTCTGACACAACAGCACACTCACGAATACATTCAATCACACAATCACATGCTCACATCACACCAACATACACTTGGACACTCCCATTCACATTCACACCCTCACACACACAGTGATAAACACACATACCAGGCAGTTACCTGCTTTGTCCTTAGTACTCCCCAGCCCCTGGTGGCAAGTCAGCTGCGGCATTTACCATATATAATGTGATCAACAGTATTATGTCTCTCCTTCAGCTCTGCCTCAGCCTGGAAACTTCCTAAGTTCATTTCTATAAACCCATCTTCCCACACAGTACCTGGCATACGGTAGGTATTTAATAATGTTCACTATGTGAATTTTGAATGCTATAACTAAAGACTTTGGCCCAAGGAGCAAGGTAATCTCTCTCTCTCTGGCTAGACTTGGAATTGGGGGAAAAAAGAGAAAAAAAAACCTAAGGGAGCTCCACAGAAAAAAATGCCAGTTTCTATGGCAAGGTTCCCTCCTCTCAGCTCTAGATCCATCCCAGCCCCTGCCCTGGGGAAGACAGAGGCAGACTGCACCCATGAGCCTTCCCTGCCAGTCCACGCATGTGCATGAAAGCTGCGACCTCGCGAGAAAAGGCAGAAGAGACTATCAGTTTTGCATCAAGGTCTCAAGGCTCCCCTTGCCCAATCCTGCTGAATCCCCTTTTCCTATGACAATATTACTTCTTAGTAGACCTTTAGCATACTTAATTCCAAAAGAAGGAGCAGTGGGGAGAGAAAGGAAGAGGAGGAAGATGAGGAAAACGGCTGCAATTCCTAAGTGTGTCCCACTGGTGAGATCACCGCAGGCCTAGGTCCGACCTTCAACTTCAAGGAGCCAGAATATTGATTGCTTGTCCTTCCAAAGGCTGAGCAGATGCCAGGAGACTGAGATGCACTCCCTAGTTTCACACAGGAGAGTAGACAAATGCAAGTGGTCAACAAACCTCAGAAGA